CCTCCCAGAGAGCTAGGATTACAGGTGTGATCCACCGCGCCCGGCTAGAGATGTTATCTTTAAGGAAGTTTGTGGAGATTTAGTCATGTATTGCTTAACTACATGACTTTTAGGTATATAGCTATATAGATTTTAAAATCAACTAAAAGCAAGCAAAGCAGGTTAAATTTGATGGGCTCGGTTTCATAAGAAATATATATTTGTTTTTTATCCTCAATTCCTGGCTCAGAGCTCCCTAAAACCTTTGTAATTTCCTGAGTGATAGAGATGGTTTGTTATTGATAACAAACCTCTTTCACCACACCAGAGTTTATCCTAATGAGGTGACTCTTGGTGGGCCCCTAGCTAGCTTTAGGATGAGGGCACTTGCTAGAGGAACTAACCATGTGATTAGAGCTTTGGATCTTTCAGCTCCACTCCCTGGACTTCCTGGGAGAGGAGAGGGGCTAGAGATTAAGTTTAGTCACAATGGCCAATGATTTACTCAGTCGTGCCTATGTAATGGAACCTCCATAAAATCTCTAAGCAGTGGGGTTCAGAGAACTTCCGGTTGGTGAATTCCTCCCACCCCCATACTTTGCTTTATACATCTCTTGTTTGGCTATTTCTGAGTTGTTTCCTTTACAGAAAAACAGTAATAATAAGTAAAATGCATTTCTGAGTTCTGTGAGTTCTAGCAAATTATTGAACCTGAGAAAGGGGTTGTGGGAACCCCTTAAATTTATAGTTGGTTGGCCAGAAGTACCAGTGACAACCTGGGACTTGAAACCGGCATCTGAAGTAGGGTAGCCTTGTGGGACTGAGCCCTTCACTTGTGGGATCTGATGCTAACTCCAGGTAGATAGTGGCAGAATTGAACTGAATTGTAGGACACCCAGTTGGTGTATGCAGAGAATTGGAGAATTGCCTGGTGTGGCAAACGCCTACACTTTGGCGATAGAAGTGTTGTGAGTAAAAGCAGCTCAACTCTCATACTCCAGATGAGACAGTCAGACACAAGGGAATAAGGTATTTTTCCTATGGCTTTAAGGCCAACAGAAGTGATCAAAATGGAGGTCTCCTAATCGCCAATCTTTTGTTTCATAGGGTTGCTGTGACTTATTGAATAAAAATGAATGCCTCTTTTATTAATCTGTGCAAAGAGCCTTTGGTCGAAGATAGATTATCCAGCCTGGGCACGGTGGCTCACACCTGTAATCCTAGCACTCTGGGAGGCTGAAGCAGGATTGCTTGAGCTCAGGAGTTTAAGACCAGCCTGAGCAAGAGCAAGATGCCATCTCTACTAAAAATAGAAAAATTTAGCTGGGCATGGTGGTGCCCACCTGTAGTATCAGCTACTCAGAAGGCTGAGGCAGGAAGATTGCTTGAGCCCAGGAGTTTGAGGTGAGCTAGGCTGACACCA